GAGTGTCACTTTGGTTGGGGTGGGGGAGCTTGCTTTTTGTCTGCATGAATATATATATAATACACACATGTACATATGGATGCCATAACATGCAGAGCAGTGTGTTTGTGTCACTGGGGTGAATCCCCCTCCCACCCCTTTCTCTCCACCACATCTCTGCTCTTCACACAATACCCTTAAGGGAAGAAGGGACATACTGAGGCAATATAGAATAACAGTGAGTCCACCCCCACTGGATTTGGGGGCTCCAACGGCTGGTCCGTGCTTTAAGAGAGAAGTCTGTGTTTGAGCCAGGCTCCCTGTATGGAGATCTGTCCCAGAAGCAGCTGGTGTCCAAGGCTTGGGGAAGTCCTACTGGGCTGGGTCCCTGTTCCTTCTCTGGATCCCTGAGGGAACAAAGAGGCTGGCTTAGAGCTTCTCTTGGCTCCTTTTCCGTGCATCTTCACGTTGATTGACTTTATGGGTGTTTCCCTTCACACTCCCCCTTTCCCCAGGGTCGGTGGCCTCTTCCCCAAAAGGCCACCTACTTGTCATGGGATGGAAGACCCTGGGTGGAGCTTTTCTCCCCCTGCCATCAGGATTGGACCTCTCAGCTTCTCCTGCTGGGTTTGGGGCTGGGAACAGTAGAGGGGCCAACGTCATAACATCCACACTGCCAGAGAGAGCTTGAGGATGAAATTAATAGCGGTGACTTTGTGAGCTGGAGGCGGGGTTTGTATATTCCAGGCTTTGTTCTTGGAGGACTCCGGAAATGAGGATCAAGACATGAGTGATGGAGACAGGAAGAGGCCGGCTTGATGGAAATGGACATCTTGACCATCCCTGGGGTGGGGCCTGCCCTGGAAGCAGAGGGAGTAGAGGAGAGGAAGGGGTCCTCTCAGCTTGGTCTCCCCAGCTCAGAATCTTCCACAGAGTCATTGTCTCTGCCTGGGGCTGTGCTCAAAGCATTCAGTCAAGGCTGGAGGAGGCTTCTGGAAGGGAAGAGGGTGTCCCTCTAAGGCCCTCCTGGGTGACCTGCAGAAAATTCCTGCCTGCAGCTCATCCGATGTCTGGGACAGAAGGCAGAGGAGGCTGCTTGACGTGATGCTCCCCACACCCCTTCTTCAGAATGTCTGTGCTGTCTTCTGACCCTGCTCATCACTGTGGTTCATCAAATAAAACTGTTTTGTGTAACTGTTGTGTCCAAAGCCTCTTTTCACAAAAGTGTCTTGGGATAAGGAAAGAACCCCAGCTTGCAAATGTTTCAGTAGAGATGGGGGGAGCGTGGTCAAGGGAGGAACAATGGGAGAACCAGGAGCTAAAAAGAGGGAGTTTGGGGGAAGCTGGAGAGGAACAGGGGGTGAGAGGATGGAGAAAAGAGACACCAGGAAAGGGAAAGGCTGGGAAATTAGATGCAGGGAGGAAAAGGAAATAAAGCAACAGGGGAGCAGCCAAGTGTTGTGTGCTGAAAAGCCACAGCACAAATGCACACACATTCTGGAGTCCAGAGCACAGGTCTGGGGAAAAATCCAGCATTTCTTCCCATGGAGGTAGGCCTATCATTCATTCATTCATTCATCTACCCATTCATTCATTTATTCATTCATCATTTCCTATTGACTCATTCATTCATTCCTTTAGCATCACATGAGTATCCACCCAGTTGAGACCAGAAGTTTGAATCCCTGTTCTGCAATCAGAGTCACTCTGGATGCTTTTGAAAATACCCGTTCCTGGCTTTCAGTCCAGATCTGTGGAATCAGAATCTCCTGCACTCAGCCCAGGTGTTCACAATCACTAAAACCTCCTCAGGTGATTCTAGGGAAGGGTGGTCTTAGGGTTGTCTTCATTCAGACAGATTCTGCCCAAATTAAGGTGAGGGCAAAAGACCAGAGAGTCAGAATCAGAGAAAATTGCACTCTGGATGCTCATCTATTTGGGAGGAAGGGGTTGAAATGGTCACTGGGGGGAAATTTCCAGTCTGGAGTTGTTCACCATCTTCAATGAAGACCTCCTGGTTATCAATACTGTTTGCAGATGAAACAAAAACGATCGCCATAGGAGAACTGAGAGTGATGAGAGAGCTCCTGTTTCTGGAGGTTTACCACTGTGCTGAGTGTTTTCCAAGCACTGTCTTATTTAATTCTTGCAGCTGTCCTCTGAAGGGGCATTTTTACCCCATTTTTCTGATAAGGAAGCTGAGGCCCAGAGAGGCTAGTTACTTCCCTTGACCAAGGTCACATAACTAGTACATGGAAGAGCCACATCTAGCCCATGCTCTTTTT